GTCTTACACTGCTAAATTAGGGACGGCTAGCGCAAATAGCCCTCGTGTAGCTTTGCGCGAAATCCATAACAAACAAACGAACTCTATACTATTAACGCCTTTTTGTTTTCCTCTAAAAATCAGCATTTTTAAGGTCCTCATTGAGAAAACAATTCACGTTATTTTCGTAACTAGCCAGAAAAACAATTCACGTTATTTTCATAACTAGCCAGACCTTACAAAGTTTTAATTTTCACAGAAACTATACATATTTGTTGTAAATTAGTGAAGATTGACTTCATCTTTCTTTTCTATTTATTTCAACAGAAATATATTACATTCCTAGAAGTATGGCAAATAACATAAGTTTTTTTTAGCAAAAAAGAAAATGAGAAAAACATACCATAGATCATTTAAAACGTGTGTGTTGGGCGGATTTTTGTATTGTTTTGGCCAACACGAAAGCCAATTTTTTTTCTTTTCACCAGGTAGTTCCATTACCATTGAGCATTATCTTTGGTACCATTTCTGTTGGGCGTTATCTTGTTCACTGTAAATATCGCAACCAGTTGAGCTATGTAGGGTCGTCTCGTTACTAGGTGGCGCAATTACCTAAATACTTTAAATATTAGATTTATTTTAACCGGGTACCAATCGGAGAGAAAGTGACAACATTAGAGCACTGAATATGCGTCATTAAAATATGCAAATTGTGGCACATTCAAAATAATATTCGATTCATTATTGTAAATAAGAAGTTGTTATTGGTGTTTGTTTGTTTTTGGTATTAAGCACAAAGCTACCTAATGGGCTCTCCAAAGAATTAAGACTCACAAATAATGAACGATCAAGAATGATATATAATGAAAAATGAAGAATGGCTTTTAGCAAAAGATCAAACCGAGAGATAACGAATAAGCAAGATGAATAAATAATGAAGGCTCAAGCAGGGTAGATAACAAATGATCAGGACACATAGATGAGAGAGATTGTGACTGAATATTGTATTCTACAATACAAGGGGGAGTAGAAAAAGACATTCTTATTTTTTATTTAACGTAAAAATACAATTTATACTTCAACTTTAGTTTTGCTCATAAAGTTTCATGTTGATAAGTTAACGTAATGTATAATTAATTTAATTTGTACAATTTTAGGAGAGGACATCCAATGGTGAATACATAATGTCTATGTTTGAGATCTCTTCTAGAACAAAATAAACATTTCACGAGTATCTGTCCAAAAGATTCAGATAACACACAAGATAGTCAAGTCACGGATATTATTTTGTGGAGTTTTGTTCCTGAGTAAAATATAGATGGTGGGCATGGAGTTAGGCGTGGTAGAGCTTAATTTCTACCCTTAACGCAGAGAATGCCTGTACGTCAACCTAGAAATTCCCATTTCTTAAACTGGCCTCATTTGTTAACTTTTTTCAATATGTTTTATTATTAACAATAAATTACGGCCCACTTACATCATGTGCTTTAGCATGATGTAGTAATATTGTATGAGCCGGTAAAAGAAAGGAATACAACTTCTCTAGCAAGCGCGGAACATCAAACCTAATTTATTACATCAATTTGAAGTCTGACAACTTCCGGTTGATGAAACGAAACAGTTTTATTTACTTGGCTACGAGAAGACATTATCAATGTATAATTTGAATTTTTCATATTATCGGTGAAAGTGAACCGTTAAATACAAGTGTATTTATATTTAAAATTATTGTATCTAAGTTTTATTATATAAACCGCCTAGGGTTGCATTGTATTTGTTGTCTGCGCTCACACTACGTGGTTGAAGTTCTATCACTCAAAAGGAAATCAGGAGCTAAACCTAACATGGCAGGTACATTAAAATAACCACAGAATGTTTGAACGGAAGATTATTTTATCATGTACTTTTGATAAGTGAGACCACGAAAACAGTGGTGATGTGTCATACGGTTATGATAAATTCAGAGATATAGTAATATCACGGTTAGTTTCCCAGACAATGTGTAAAAGCAAAGAAACAGCACAACAGTAGGTGGCCGTCTAGCAACAGGATACAGTATGCTTGTGGCAATTCATTTTTTTTTTATTGGTGAATAGATGTATCCAGTTAGGAAATATCCGTGAAGCCCTTGATCAAGAGACTCATTGTTGCTTTTTTTCTAAAGATTAATTATTTCCGGTGAGATTTGGTAGGTAATTTTGGCGATTTAATCGATTAAACGATGAAATCACTCACCTATGAGCAGCGATTACATTGATTAGTGTCATACAAACTAACCGATTAGTGGTTCAGATTATAACTGTTTTCGATTATTCCAATAATCGCTTAATAGAGATTCCATTTATATCGATTGTCACGAAAATAATCAACTAATCGATTAGTGGTTCAGATTATAACTGTTTTCGATTATTCCAATAATCGATTAATAGAAATTCCATTTATATCGATTGTCACGAAAATAATCAACTAATCGATTAGTGGTTCAGATTATAACTGTTTTGATTATTCCAATAATCGATTAATAGAAATTCCATTTATATCGATTGTCACGAAAATAATCAACTAATCGATTAGTGGTTCAGATTATAATTGTTTTCGATTATTCCAATAATCGATTAATAGAAATTCCATTTATATCGATTGTCACGAAAATAATCAACTAATCGATTAGTGGTTCAGATTATAACTGTTTTTGATTATTCCAATTATCAAAATAAATGAAATATAGACATAACAGTTACTCACCCTGTTTTTGTTATTACAGAACTACTAAGGTTATCTGCCACTGCCACATTCTTAATTGTTGTTAAGAGAGAAGGCAACTTGCTGAGCACCCGCCGCCAATATTTTTGCATGTATATACCGTGGTTTGAGAAACACTGTATTAATAGGATAATCGAATGTAATCGATTAATGGGGCCGTCGACTAATCGATTAGCAAAAGCCATTAATCGCCCAGTTCAAATAATTTATTATCTTAGTTTACACACACTGCGTGGATTAAATATTTGGGCCTGAAATGATCTGGTGGTTAGGGCACTTGATTCGCAATATGCAGCTTGCAAGTTCGAATCGTGTCACTGAACTTGCTCCCTCTTTCAGCCGCGGGGGCATTATAATGTGACGGTCAATCTCACTATTCGTTGGTAAAGAGTAGCCCAAGAACTGGCGGTGGGTAGTGTTGACTAGCTGCCGTCCATCTAGTCTATATATCACTTAAAAATTAGGGATAGCTAACGCAGATATCCCTCGAGTAGATTTGCACGAAATCCAATAAGCAAACAAACGACAATACAATAAAATAAAGAGTGCTTATAAACCAATGTGAAGAATTAAAATGCCTTTAAGTTAATATACGGAAAATTTCAGCGAATTTTGGTGAAAAATTACACAAATGTTTTATACTATGATTTCTGGTGAAAACGCCACCTTGTGGCAGCTAAAAAGGCAAGAATATACTAAAAACCACACGCAATTTGCTTGGCAAATATTTTCAGTTGATGGAAAGTAGTTAAATAATTTCAATTTTATAGTGAATTACAGAATTTTAGAAAACTATTAATTATTATTTCCTACATGAAAGTTGATAACGGCTTTGAAAATATGCAGGTCTAAAAAATTAATAAATATCTCGTCACTGTTATTGTTCTTTTTCATGTTAAATTGCTTGTTTTTAATTAAACCAGAAATAAATTAAGGTAATCGGCTTGGGTGTGCATCATATACGGACCGATGCAAAGACTCTATTGACGTTAGACATACATGTATATACATAAGCATCTGTCTTGTAAATCTTTTGAATAACAGGTAACAAGCCAAATTGAAATAATTTTGTTTACTTGTTTGTTTATTGATTTTCAACAAACCCACATGAGACCTATCTGCGCTATCCGTCCATAACTTTGAAGTGATAGGCATCTAGTCAACATCGCCTGTCGCCAACTCTTGGACTACTCTTTTACTAACGAATAACGAGTTTCATCGTCATATCATAACGCTCTCACAGCTAAACGGAGGAGCATATTCGGTTAAGGAATTCAAATCCGTGACCCGCAGATTGCAAGTCGAGTGCGCACTAACCATCAGGTCATGTCAAGTCCAGGTAGAATTTAGTGAAAACAAACGGTTATTTTAAACAAATGCGTATAAGGTTGATATTAAGGCAGTTGGCAGACAAGTAAAGAATTGTTACTTGTGTGCACAACAGTAGGCTTACGTCCGTGACTTTAAGCTCCTGCAAACTTCAAGATAATGGGGTAGAAACACATATAAATGTTAATAGTGTTTCTAAAAAAAATGCGAAGTATTCAAAATTCTAAAACTGATAATTGTTAACACAAAATATCAATCAAGGATTTCTTCGTTCGTTTGTTTTCAATATAGACTTATTGGTTGTAAATATTTACCTCTACGTAAAATCTGAATTGTTTTAGGTATCATAGGTCACATATTTTTTTTTTCCAGAAACAATGGCAGAAATCCAGAAATACGACTGTTTTGTTTTCAAATTTTATTTTCCATATCTAAAAATATTCAGATACATCATAAAGCTTTTACAGACAAACTCTTAAAGCTGTAAGATATTACTTCAAAACATATTCCATAATGTCATAAATGAGTAATACCTTTCTCAGCCTTGAGCTCGTGGTTTTAAGTAAACGATCATGATATTAGGTCAAATATCACGAATTATACAAATAATTCTGAACCATTTCCAATGAAATTGCTTCAGATAGATTGGATTTATAAAATCAAACATTTAATAACACGACAAGTCGATTATTTTTGCGGGAAAAACAAAAGTAATAAAATATTTATTAATAAATCGGCAAGGGAGCGCCACCGAAAAAACCACCATGATGACTACCACCGAAAGCACCGTGAACATTACTCAGAATATCTTGATGAAGGTCTGCCAAAGCTTGTTTCATCACAGCTGGGTTGCCATAGCCGTAGGAGACGCCATATCCTCTGTTATGTCCAATGGCTTGACCAAGGCCTCCTCCTCCGTAATGGGTTGGAGCACCGTGGCCATAGCTTGCCCCATATCTCATGTTGAAGCCACCCGAGTAACTGTAGGCTTTGCCTCCACCAGGGAGCGCTATGTGTGCGTTTCCAGTAGAACCGTGGTAAGCTCCTTCACCGTAACCTCCTGGGAAATGATTACGTGCTCTCACTGATACTGCCTTGCCATGTTGAAATCCAAGCGGCCTAGCATAGACACCATATCCATAACCTCCATAGCCGCCATAGGCGTAACAGGAGAATATCAAAACTAGGAAACTAACCTGTAAAACGGAAAGACAGAGAGATGAGAAATGCATATATTTATTGTAACAAATCAACAAAAATACGAGCTATACATATGGCAACAATTTTTCTCTTTCTTTTCGAAGAAACGCAATACAAAAGGAATTTATAACTTATTGTAAAATAATCACATAAACAGTTTAGTGAAAAGAACTACTATGTTTAAAATGCCAGTCCTGATTAAGTGAAAATATTGTTAAGTATTTTTCTGTGGTAAAGTATATGTACATCACGTGCTTATCTGTGTTTTATAACATGTAGCATCATTCCTTTTCCCAAATTATACAATTTCACTCGTTTTGTCGTGTTCTGTAACATAGCGTTTCCCGTGCTGCTACATCTTTTGATTTTCTGTGTTCTGTAGCATCACTCGTTTTGTCGTATTCTGTAACATTCTGGGTTTTACTGTGTTCTTTAATATAACGTATTTTAGTATGTGCCGTAATATCAAACGTTTTGCCGTGTTCTGTAACATTCTGGGTTTTACTGTGTTCTTTAATATAACGTCTTTTAGTATGTGCCGTAATATCAAACGGTTTGCCGCATTCTGTAACATTCTGGGTTTTACTGTGTTCTTTAATATAACGTATTTTAGTATGTGCCGTAATATCAAACGTTTTGCCGTGTTCTGTAACATTCTGGGTTTTACTGTGTATTTTAATATAACGTCTTTTAGCATGTGCAATAATATCAAACGTTTTGCCGTGTTCTGTAACATTCTGGGTTTTACTGTGTATTTTAATATAACGTCTTTTAGCATGTGCAATAATATCAAACGTTTTGCCGTGTTCTGTAACGCCAAGCGTCTAGCATTATTCTACAGGTTTTGATCTAAATTCCTAAGAAATACCGAGCTAATGATTAAAGTGAATACTTGCATTAGATTTGAAAAATATATATCGAGAGTGAAAACTTCATAAAGTTACGATAACTATAAACACATACGGGCTCTACAGTGATATTTATTTCTAATGACTCTAAACACAAATAAATTTCAAACAAAAATTGTGATTTCTGTCTGTTGGCTACATTATCTGATCTTATAAGTTGGGCAAAAAATGACAGATTGTGGGGCATTCATGAGTTTTAGAAATTAAACATAGCTATTATTAAATTAAATTTTGTGTCGGAATTATAGGATAGAAACTAACTCAGAATTCGAAAAAAAGAACATTAATTGCTGCCTAATTTTATAGTATCAAACTAGCTTTTCTTAATACTATACTGTTCATGCTATATTATAGTTTTAAATTATTATAAATCTGTTCTGTATTACCTTAACAAATTAATATAGAAACGTTACAACACTGCATATATCATTTTATGGTTTTGTCCTAATATATATAAGTTATTAATAGTGGAGTTTGAAATATTCATATATAGAACATAACTGCTTCTATAGTACTATAAGGTAGTATAATTTACGGTTTTAAAAATCTATATCAAATACTTACAATCAGAGTCCTCATGTCTTCTCTGCTGATTGCGCGAACTGTGTTTGTGATTAACCTACACAAAGTTAAATACCTGTGTTCCGCTCACAGGCTGCTCTATATGTCAGTTATTTCTTCTCAGCAACATGCAGATACTCGAGTTCAAGACTTTCATTGCTTGTTTGTGAAAAAGAAGAAGAACAAAAAAAAAAAGAGGCATAGCGGCCAACAACCCTCCCTGCAGACGTAATATTTCATTTGAGATGGTTTCTCAAACGCTACGTTCTTTAACCGTATTAATAGAGGTAAAAAATAAGTTCTACTAACATATCAACGGCCTCATTTACTTGCTATATTATTAGCTAGTTTGGTGTGTTTTATGAGATATATGTGTGAAGTATTCTTCTTTAGAGGTGAATGATCGATTTGACCAAAACAAAGAATTGATACGTACAATAACGAATAATAGCAATAAATAAAAACGGCTATATACAGCAGTTTTGAACGGCACTTTAGGGCGGATCTTTTTAGGATCAGCCCGAAGCACTACTAGTACTATTAGCGTATTTTTCAGTGTACTCTTTTTTTTTTTTTCTCCCGACAATTTAGTTACTAACAATACGGTGTCAGATATTTCCGGTTAAACCTTTATTATAATTACATGTTGTCACGCTTGTAATTGATTATGTAGTTTTGTGCATTTCATTCTCTGAAAGAATTTTATCTAAAGATAAGACACAATGGCACAAATTTTCAAAATATCTATCGTTAATAGCTCAACCGAAATACTTGAACAACCACGAGTTTCGTATCAAACATTTATTGTAATTAACATCTTACAGTTTTATAATAAAGAAAGTTAAAGTTATATAAGCTCTGTTGACCGATTGACCAACTAGACCTTATACGTAACAAGTGGTCTCTCGGTGGGTCAGCTGTAAATTCACTGACTTACAACGCTAAAATCAGGGGCTCGTTTCTCCACAGTAAATAGAGCGCAGATAGAACATTGTGTAGTAATGCTTGGAGACGGCTTGAATGGGTAATGAAGAAGAAACTTTAATATAAATTTAACAAAACAGCAAATGTACAACGTTTCGACAAGGTTTCATACCTACTGATGACAAAACCTTAGTCGAAACGTTAGTATATTTGTCTGTTTTGTTTAACTTAATATTAAAGTTTTTTACTTTCTATTACCCTACTTCTAAGCCGTCTCCAACGCATTATTAGTC